ACGTGAGGCTTTACTTATTTTGATAGGGCTAAAGCCCTATCAAACCATTTTCCTTTTTAAAATTTAAATTTATTTAGTTATTTGCCATTTATTATAAAATTGATTCATGCATTTGGTTGTATGTTTTGTTACATTATATCAAAAAACACACATGTTGGATTTTTTTTCCCGCATTTTCTTGTACTCAAAGATGCAATCTGATGATTGTAAGGCTACAAATTATAGTGTTTGTGAAATTTTATCTCAATGCTTATGTTCTTTTAAATTCCATGTCATTGTATATATATATATATATATATATATTTATTTATTTATTTATTTATTCTAGGTTTGGCTGATACAAACTCTTTTTAGCTATAACGTTGTATAAATAATTATTTTTGCCAATAAGAATTAATTCATGCTCGTCAGATCAATTTATTAATAAGAAGTAGGTGAGCATGAATAATAGGCAAGCTTGGGAAATTATGGAATAGGAATGCAACAAAATAACTAACACTCAGGGATTTGGGCACAGTCAGGCGGCCACTAATATGGATGATTCATTCGTAGATCGAGTCAATGAATTGTCACGTGAATTCAATGAATGACACCATCATGGTCAAAATGAATAACAAATTATCTTTCATTTTGGTTTTCGATCATATCTTACTAATTGTATGATTTATTGTAGTCTACGTGTGATTATATACTTTATCCCTGATAATTTTATACTCTTTCTGTGATGTACATTTAAGGAAAAATATCTCTATATCCTATATTTTTAAGTTTCATTTCTTGATAAACCCAATGTTTCAAAAGATATTTTTTAACTCCCTGGTCACTTTAAACCTATTTTTTAACCTAAACAAATGTGAGAAAGACATGTTATTTCCAAACCCAATGATTTATCTCTCTTCACTTATATACTTCAAACTTTTTTCATTCTCTCTCTTCCTATATCTCTTTCAGTCTCTCTCCTCCTATGTTTCTCCAAACACCTCTCTTTCTCTTTCCAGTAACCTCTCACCTCCATGAAGCCCTTATCTATCTCTAGAAATTTGGAAGGATGGATTTTTTAAAAGATCATTTTTTTTAGATTTGTTTGGCCTAAAAAAACATGTTTAAATTAGCTCAAGGGGTTAGAAGAAATAAAATCTACAATTTCAATGCCCTAATATATCTTTTAAAAGCTTGGGTCTATTATGAAAGAAAACTTAAAAATAAGGGGTATGGAAATATTTTCTCTAAATTTAATAGTTAACAATACTTCAAACAGGGAAAAAACATCTCAATATTTGCTTATTGATGCAAAAAAATAAAAGTTAATAATGTAGTTCCCCTAGTTCTTATTGGATTTTACAAAACAATATTTATAACGATTTTTAATAAACTTTTTGAACTTTTTTAAAGGCCGAATTTGAACGATCAGGCCGGTTTATCCCACCGATTCACCGATTCACCGATTCAAACCGGTTTTTAGGGTGCGATCTGTTTTTTAAATCGCTGATTTGAATGCTGAACAAAGCACCGTGGTCTTCTTCATAGCACATGCTACCATAGACTGCTTGACTTTGTAAGGCATGTACTTGGATCCGAAGCTCCACAGGGTTTTGAATATGATACCATTATCTTGGAAGAATTTATAATCTTCTCAATTCTGGATCTTTCACGTCAAGTTCTTACTAAGGGTTGGGGCCCTCTCCCCACTTATTAACCCAAAAAAAGTTCTTACTACCTTACATAGGTTCCTTAGTGTAGCTCACTGGGGATAGCCCCTACTTGATGCAACATTGGTGCATCCTCCATTGTTTACTAACCATTTACCTTTGGTACAAGGTGGTCACAATTGATCTTGACCACTGGATGTAATATTAGGTTATTTTATTGATCAAGCTCAAAGTCCAAACGAATTTTTTTTTGAACTTTGTGACATATCCAAGCCATCAGAGTTCACATCGGATGGTTGTAAGTAATTGTGACATCCATATAATAAAAGTAAATTGTCTTATTGTATACAATCCCTTGAACTATTGATTTTCGTTTAAAAGGAGAAAGTTATTATCGCTTACAGGACGGATGAGTACGGTCTTATTTTTTTATGGATCTAGTATATGAAATATATTTTAATGTACTTTATGGAATTGGAATGAAGTCATTGAAGGCTTTGATGGTATGGGTATTTCTAATATTATGTGGTGAGTCTATTTTGGTAATGTTTTTGTTTTTACCTATCAAATTAGATGTGAAATCCATTACATATCATCATCAACGTTATCATTAGAGTCTTTTTTCAACAATTTGGGGTAAACTCATTTCCGATATGACTATTTCCAAAAATAATAAAAGGACTCTGATGATGATGACCGTATCAGCCCATGTGAAATGATCATATCAGCCCATGGCCTGATGGAATAGCTATAAAGCCCAACGGTCTAGATTGAGTTTGAACCGATCTGAAACTCACAACTATATTTCATATTAAAATTTTAGTTTTATTTATACATATCTAATCATATGAAATTTAGTGTTTCCACTCTTCTCATCAAGGCGCACCTATTAAAAAAAAAAAATATTTATAAAAACTAAAATGACCAAACTACCCCTTAAAAAATTCATAGCTATTTTGGTCCATTTAATTTTTGAAATTTATTATTTGATATTTTTATTAGATTCGTTAATTTTTTAAGAATATACATTCCACATTTCAAGTGATTTGGATTTGTAAAAAAATTAAATCTAAAATAGATAATACAGTCATTACCATGGGATCGGTCCAAATTCGATCTGAGCCATTAGGAGTTTACTGCAACTATCCGCTAGCGGGATGACCTCAAGCTCTTCTACCATAGACACACACGTACACACACACACACATAATATCTCTTATATATGGAAGTCATAATCAATCTTGTCCCTTAAATTTCTAAATAGGTGGTTGTAAAAGTGTAATTGAATAGACATAAAGTTCTATAATTAAATTTTTGAAGTTCGTGACTCACCCCAAGGCATCCAATTTGACATCTAATAAATGAGAATGATTGTGGCCTTCATTACAAAAAATAAATGGTCTTTTTGTAGACATTCCCTCAAGTATCTACACCTTTGCCCATTCTTTCTTAGGACCCTCGAGACTTGGAATCATCAATTATTGTTTTCGTCTTCAAATCATAGCCTTTGTGTCGCATTCCAAATTGAAATTTAGAACCCATGTCTTGGAGAAGGTGAGATGTTGGCCATAGTACTTGGGGTTTCTTAAGGGGTGTAGTTTGTATAGAGCCTAGGCTCTAAACAATCAAACTAGAGCCTACCTTTAAATGGTGTCGTGAAATATGGTTTCAATACTGGAAATATTTGTGATAGCCTTAAAATATTTTTTCATCTTTACTTATAAATTTTAAAGGTTTAAAAATTGTGTAGATCGACAGATCTATGAAAACTTGAAAATCGATGAACCAAAAATGCGTTACAAATACACTATGTCTAAAACTTGAAGTCCAATATTTTCTCATGCCCATGCATCTTGATGTTGAAATGATAAATTTGAGGATATTTGAGCATCGAAACAAACCTCTTCCAGTGAAATTTTTGAGATAGGCTCTAATTTGATTGTTTAGAGCCTGGGCTCTACCCTTTCCTTGAATTTCAATTGACGTGTTGAAGTTGAATGGTTAAGGTCAAGGAAGTTGACGTGAAGAGACTCTTAACTATTATCTATCAAATAAGTGCCCCTCGACTTTTGCTTTGAGGACCTAACTTTCTCTAACTTGACTTTTTCCATTTTCTTGATCTTGGACCGGAAACTTTAAAAGCCCGTAATTTTGGTTTTAATTTTATAGGCCTCTTTAACTTTGACCCTCTCTCTTTCGGTTATGAACAACCAATAGAAGTAACAGAACTTATAACAATCATTATTAAAGCTGACAGGAGAAGTTAAAAAAAACCAAAAAAAAAGATTCATTGATGCATAACATTCAACTACTAAAAAATAATTAGTAACAAAAAATATTGACATCAAGAGGTTTTGGCATTTAGGAGGAGGAGACAAGTTTTATTTTTTTGAAACAAATCTTATCTTATTGTCTTCAGCTAAGAAAATCTCATAATCCATGTCAAAATTAAACTTCTTAAATGACGCATCAAACAATAACAAATAATAATGTAAGAAGGAACCGAACAATTGCAAATGATTTAGGTTATGAAAATTGTCTGTGATGGAACCATATAAAAACTTTTGCAGAAAATAAATTGTTCACCAAACATTAGAAAATAATTTACTGCTTAAATCTGCAAAATGCTTAAATTTTTTTCAAGAAGAATAAATAAATAAAAACTCAACAAACACATTCTTCAATAAATAGCACAGGAATAAATTTGATCTATCATTTAGGAGTCATAATCAAAATAGTCATAATAATAAAAAACTATAGAGCTACAAACACACACACACACACATGATTTTCAAGTATAGCATGCACTAACACAGAGCTACATAACAATCAAAATAAATTATTTAAAAAGAATTTGGGGCTGTGAGTTTTTATTTTAAAATAAAGTTTGGGGTTTTTTTTTTAATAACCTAAAAAAAAAACAAAATGGGGGACATTTTTCGTTGTTTTCCTTTTTCTTTATCATCATGCAATCACTGGGACAATAGATAAGGTGTGGCCATAGTGACATTCATTGGTTGGAGAAACTTGAAACTCCTTTTCACGATTCTCTAACCCATTGATGGGACTATAGTACCTCCTGATCACATTATTATTATAACAGTGTGGATAATATCCATTGCGTTATGCTTTTTGGACTTGGGCTAGCTTATCCCAAATGTGCTGAAAAGAAATAAAAATGGTAAATACACATGTTTGGCTTCTTTTCTTCTTCTCCAATGTAGTTTTTATGTGAGGCTATATTTTCCTCACACAAACTTTTAAGTATACAAAATCATCAAAACATAAGTTCATGCTCTTGGGTGAAAACCCATATTACATTAAACAAAGAAAAACAAGCTTATTTTCAAGCCACTATTTTCATTACATAAATAGTAAATAACAACACTATACAGTCATCCAGTGTGGGTTACACCTATCTTGTAACTGAACCTATAAAAATTTATCTTTCCAATTTAAACAACGAATTCAAGTGTCTCACCGTGGGTAAGAGGAAACATATATCTACAATGACACAATAAAATGGCCACATGAATTTGGCACTAGGACACTGTTTATAAACATAAACCCCTTCCAAACTCAAAATTCTCACATCTTACCCCGAGGCAAATAGCCAAAGGAGCATCAGAAAACATGTTCTCAGGCGCAAGGAAACACACGAAGTTCTCCAGCCATTGGCGATCACAATGTTAGCCGGTCCTCGGTCTCCCACCTCTCTTGGTCAAAATCTCTGCAACTTGTTGGGGGGGGGGGTTTTGATCCTCTGCATTGCTTGCGAAGCTCTGTAACTTTTTAGGGTGTCAATTGTCTGTTCTTCATCAAAATCATTATAACTTGTTAGGGTTATGCATCTCTGGTGTTTGTCAAAACCTCTGGAACTTGTTAAGGCATCAGTCCACTCTTTTCGTTGAGGACTCCATAAATTGTCGAGTACAGTAGTTGGTGAAAATAGGGTTACGTTCGAGTGTGCAGAGGCCAAAAAGGGGTGGTGAAGCAACTGAGGAGCTGTCCACCTTTCTGATGGCTCTCGCATGAAACACTTCTCTAGAAAATCAAGGCTGCAATCTGAAATTCCAGTGAGTTTGAGTATTTTTGGTGATAATTCTGGCACCTTCCCTGTAGCCATCTCCACAACTGTACTACCGAGGGACCATATATCTGAGGGCATGCCCTGTTCCCCCTTCCTAAAAATTTCAGGGGCCATCCACCCCAAAGTCCCGGGGTGAATATCAAGAAGCTCACTAGGGACCCTCTTTGCAGCACCAAAATCGGCGAGTTTGACTTCGCCTAAGCACCCCAAGAGCACATTCTTTGCTTTAATATCACACTGAATAATTCCGTTGCCATGAAGATATTGAAGACCTCTGAGCATGGAGTTCGTGTAAGCTTTAATGGCTATTTCTGGCAATCCCTTGCAGCTCATTGATAGTGAGGACAAATCACCACCCTCCATGTACTCCGTGAAGATATTCACCCTTCCTTCTTCATCGTAGCACTGGCCAAGGCAATTCGCTATAAAGGGAGAATCCAGATTCTTGAGTACCTGGATTTCTCTCTCTAGAGATTCGAGAAACTCTTCATTGTTTTAGGTTGCGGACTTTACTGCAAACAAATGGCCATCTTCCAAGTTTCGAGCAAGACTCACACATCCATAAGAGCCATTCCCTATAGTTTTCAGTCTTATCCAATCTTTAATTGGAAGAGGAGCCGCCATTTCTGCGTTGGTAAAAAGTTCGAAAACCTTCAGTTATGGCGACCTTGATCTGCACTGGTTGATCCGGTAATCTGTTTTGAGTTCTAAATAAAATCTAAATCACAGGGTGACGTTTCCTTCTCTAAGTGTAGCAGAGATGGGAGCCCTCTGAAATTCGACAGGGTTGCTTTTCCTTCTCTAATCGTAGCAGAGACGAGAGCCCTCTGAAATTTGGAGACAGCTCGTGATCTCTACTTTTATATATAGGTTTGATATCCCTTAAAAAATAGCAGATATCCGCTAAAATAGCGGAAATGAAATTTGCAATAAAAGTTATCTGAAAATTAAAAAGAAAGACAGTGAAGGCACGAATGAGCGAGAAACTAACAAAATGGTCAAATTTTGGATTTACAGTTATGCCCTTACCTCATGAATAATGGGAATATTTATTTTGGCGTTTTATTTAAGAAATGCAATTCTCTCTTTTCATTAAGAATATGGAGTTTCTATAAGGCCCAGAGTTTATGAAAACAAAATAAAGCTTCATCTCAAATCTTCATCTAAAAATCACTTTCGGCATAAGAAATATCCACATCTAGAAAGCACTTTTGACATAAAAAATATCCGTTATGGCTCTAAAATCCATTTCTAATACTGACAAAAAAAAATTGAAATTAAAAAAATAGTACAAACCTTACGAATCAATGAACACTTTTTTTTTTGGGTGAAATAGACGGTCTGGATGATTTGTTTTAATGTATACTATTTTTAAATTTAAAACTCTATTGTTTTATCACAACCGGAATGTTCAAGCCGAGATGGTATGATTTAAAGGTTTTCCAACTCTTGAATTGAACTTTGGATGCGTTATGAGGTGAGGCTTTACATATTTTGTTAGGGCTGCTGCCCTATGAAACCATTGTCCTTATTACAACCTTGAATTCTTATCCTCATTTTATTTGGAAATTAATGAACATCGCTTTTTATTTAGAAAAATTCTCTCTCTTTATTACAATATTGAATTCTTATCCTCATATTTGTTTATTACAATATTGAATTCCTATCCTCATCTTTGTTTGGACATCAATTCTTATCTGCTTACCAATTTTTAGGGAATTCAGTTATTTTTTATCTTTGGTTTTAGGAAGGAGGGAAAGTGCTTCTCTATTTTGGACAACAGATCGAGAAGCACTAACTCCCCATTTTGAGGAAAATGGGATTTTGACAAAAAAATCTATCTTTAATATGTATTTTGTACTTTATAGGCTGATAATCTATTCCAGATTACGGCTGGCCATGGGCTGGGATGACCAGCCCGCCTGGCTCGGTCTGGCCCCGAAAAACTAGCGGTTGAGGTCTGGACCTGAGCCAAGGCAATGACAGGTTCTAGGTCCATCCCGGCCTTTAATTTTTTTTTGTTTTTTTAAGCTTTCATTTATTTATGCCCTAATATTTTTTCAGGTGAAAATTATAAAGAATGTCGGTTAGCCGATTTTTTTATTTTCCAAAATTGCCCCTTGGTCTGAGGACATCCTCATACCAAATTTTAATTTTAATTTTTTAAATTTTTTCATTCATAGGGCACTAACCTAGAGCTTGGGGCCTTGCCCTACTAATGAAACAACGTAAAAAAAAGGAAAAAAAAGAAAAAAAAAATTAAAATTTAGATTGAGGATTCCATCGTCACACCAAGGGGTAATTTTGAAAAAAATAAAAAAGGCGGATTAACCCACAATTTTGCCGTTTCTACCTATAAACAAAGCAATTCGTATTTTTGAAAAAAACATTTGGTGTCCATATGTAAATCACTTTTTATTTATTTATTTATTAGGTGCGACCTGGACAAGGTTAGGGCTTGAGCTAGGCCCTTTGGCTTAGTTAGGATTGGGATGGCTTGGCCCGGCCCTCTAAGGAGCTGGGTCAGGCTCGAGACACGGCTGGCCTAGCCCAGGCCTCCGTGCCGGCTATTTTAATAATGGACTATTTAAAACATTTTTTTGAAGCCCTTCATTACCGTTCATTTATAGACCATCCAAAGCACACTATTGAGGTCTAAATCACGACACTAAAAGCAGAAGTGATTTAGAATGTTTCAAATACTAAATCCATTACAAGGCATTTGAAGTCATACGAAAACTCCACCTTGTTTAAACTTCTCCATTTTAAGATTGAGGATGAAGGGCTGGTAACAGGCCGGGCCAACCTTGGCCGTAGCCCGGCCTAATCACATAGGGTCAGTCCAGCCCCATTAGGCTGGGGACGGGGCTGGCCCTAGCCAAATAGAAAAAAATGAAAAATAATAATAATATATATATATCAAGAACAAAAGCATTGGGCCAAGCTGAATAGGACTGGCTATTTCTTGACCCAAACCCGGCTACTTGTAAGTCTCTACTAACAACCTCTTCCACTAAATTTATTCCATATAATTTATTTCAAAAAATAAAAACTCTCAAGTTAATATTTTTAAAATATTATAATATGTAAGTGTTTTATAATATTTTAAAATTATTTTAATACGGTTTTTTAATTTTATAATATGAAATTGTTTTCTAATATTTTTAAATTATTTTATTACAATATTATAATATTATATTATAATTAATAATTTTATAGACACCTAAACAAGGAAACAATTTCTTAATATTGACGTATTTTTACAAATAGTAAAACTACATAATATACACTCTCAATTTTTGAAAAAACTCAAAAAACACCATTTTTATTGATTTTTAGTATTTTTCTAATTTTTTTGGCCTAAACTTGTTGATTTGATTGATTTTCCGATCCGACATGTTTTTTGAGGAGGCTGATTCGGCTCACCAATCTTCTTTTTATTTTTTTAGCTGTGGTTGCAACCTTAAACAATCAAAGTAAGGTTCACCTCCAAAATTCGTTATAAGAGGCAAACATGGTTCAAAATTCTTAGGATGGTACAATAATCTATTTTTATTTCTAATTATAAAATTTTAAACTCTAAAAAATGGTTTAAATCAAACAGATCTATAAATGCATGAAAATCATAAAAAAGACGCGCAGATAGTATGCTAAAAGATGTACTATTTTTTAGGACTTGAAATCTCCTTTTTTTTTCTCCATATCTATACATTTCGATTTCGAGATTATCAATCAGATGTTTTTCCAATATTAAAACAAACATTTTCCAAGAATTTAAAAAATGCAACCAATTCTACAAGTGTCGACATTATATAAACGTTTTTTAAATGGACCAAAACCAAGTATAATAGAGCTCTTTTGAGATTCAAAAACCCATAAAATTCATCACCATTGTAGTTGACCTTACCTTTGTAACTTCAGATTTATGCTCTGAAGGTGATTTTTGGAACCTCAAATTTTTAAGAACCTGATTATGCGTACTTAGAAATGCAGGCCTTTTAATAAATTTAGTTTTTCTTAGGTTCAAGGTTGGATCGGTCAAGTTTGCGAATACTGATTTGGGCTTCTAATTACGGCTATGTTTAGAAATAGATAAGCTTCGATTTAAGCAAAAGAATCCATGAAAAGAACCAAAGAGAGAGAAAACACCAATACAAAAAGAGAGCAAAAAAACCAAGCAGATAGAGGACAAAAGAAACCAATGCAGAGAGAGATAGAAGCATCACCACATAACATAACATAGAAGAAAAACATACCCAAAAAATAAAAAAAGTCTCGAGGAAGAACGTACCCAAAAGGTATAGGGAGTCTTGAGGAATTCAAGAAGCAACCAGATGATAAAAATTGTAACAAGGGCTCTCTCTATATATAAGTAGGTTGGTTAATCAAGAGTCCTCTCACTCTTAATTTGTTTCAAGATGTATTTTTTTGGATTTAAATCCTTTTTTCTTTGACTTCCTCACATCTCGAGGGTTTTCGATAACAGAATAACCTTTTTACGTGGATTTTTGAGGTACAACTTACTTCCACAATTTTAGATTCACCCAATATATGAACTTTGGAAAAAGTTTATATAAGGATGCAACCTCATAATGTAGAAGTACGGATGCACCTCAAAAATTCATCGGAAAAGGTAGTTTTAATATTGAAAAACCCCTTGATTGATCATTTCGAAATCGAGCCCTAAAATTGAGAGTAAGCACCCAAATTCGGTCACCTAATTTTTATTTTTTATTTTGGTAATTATGAAGGGATGACCAGCCCCTACCTATTTTTTAAAGAACAATGATCCAATGCAACAATTGTATCATAATATAATGCAACAAGAAAGGTTTCTATACTTCCCCTACAACATAGAAGAACTATTCTCTCCCTGCCATCCAGCCGTCCAATTTTGATCAAGAGAGCCACTCACTGTTTGATCTTAGATCCGACGTCTCAAAGTATTTTATTTTAAGTTTTTTTTATACAAATTGTATGAATATGAAATTTGGTACGTGCCATCTTCTCATTGGGGGGGCACCTACAAAAAATGTTAAAAATAATTTTTTGACAAAATATAATAACCAAAATACCCCTTGAAACTTTTAAGGGTATTTTGATCATTTTATTTTATTGAAAATATTTTTTTATATTTTTCGCTAGTGCGAGTTTAATAGAGGATTGGATGTCCAAAATTTGGTGTTAGAATAGTTTATAGAAAAAAAATTAAAAATAAAATAGTTTAGAGATGTGACATTATGATTGGGGCAATCTTAGCCCTCCATTCAAAATGGACGGTTGGATAAGAGGAAGTATATAAGTTTTATGTTGTAGGGGAACATAGAAAGCTTGCCCTTGAAAACTATGTTTATGGTATTTGTATGACCTCAAATTTTGCACACATACTATCTTCATCTCAATAATCAATCTCCCCCCAAAAAAAAAATTTCAATTTGAACCCTATATATGGTCAAAATGAGTCCCATCCAAAAACGAATCTAGACCATTCATTTAGTGAATTTCAAGATCTTAGCCTTCATAAACCTAAAATTATATATATATTTTTTTAACATTGTTGATCTAATGATAATAAAGCCATCCAAAAAAATTGGAAATGAAAAAATCCTTCTAAGGCCTAGATCTAAGCATCTTACCAAAATGAACAGCCTATGTTAATTGGGCTAAAAAAATACTTTTTAGGTTATGTTTTCAATGTTTTCTTTTTTTGTGCTTGTTCATTAGAATGAAAAGAGTGTATATTTCAAATTTTGGATCAAACAAATAGCCATAAGATGGTTTTTTAATGTTGTTGCATCATATTACTATACAACAGTTGCATGAAATCATTGCGCTTTTTTAAATCGTTAGTGTTGTCCTTGGTTGCTTT